TTAATGTGCATCACTCTCACTTCACCTCCAGAAGTGGATTGATGTAGATTGATGTTGGGGCGATCAATGTAAACCAATAGCAACAAGAACACAAAATGATGCATAATTCAATTCAGCTGCTAGTGTGTACAAGTTTTCTTATTTCAGTGGTTGGATTTGGATGGCCCGTGGCAGATTAGACTCACTGAGTGCATGTGGTGTCTGCACTCTGCACTATGTAGCTTTCCTGCTATAAGTGTGTTAATTTCAGGTTATGCACTCTTAATAGGGTTGAGAGGATAGAAAGTACAGGTCACGGCTATTACATCATTTGTATAGTACTTCGTAAACAAGGAACTTCCTTCACTTTTTGATCAAAATGTCATTAAAACATCAAAGCAAGTATAATTTAAGCATTCCTTCCTCTTACAAGCAAAAGGAGTTGACTGGTTAGCAAACCAGTCATGGCTAATGTAAGTATTAGTGGTCACAACACTGGTGTTGATAGAAACATGCGAATCCATTGTTTTTTGAATATAAAATTGACAATTAATGCAATCAACAGTAAAACATATCAGATTTGCCTGAAATACATTCATGCAGGTCTGGTATAACCACTCATCATTTTTGTATCCTCAAGAAACTAATGTTGAAGTCCATTATTACTCTGGCTCAAGTAAAACTATTTCTGCTTTACAATCTGAGGAAGCAAAAGCCCCTAATACTACATGGGATTACATAGCAGACACTGAAGTATTAAGGATTAATAGTGCCCAGTGAATTTATAATGTATTTTTTTGCTTAGATTCTGCTCTTATAAGATCAGATGGTACATATGCTATTCTTAATCAATAAGAGGCCAGATTCTGGACCAGGGAGAGTAGTCAATATGGGCTTGTATGAAGGTGGTCGTCCCTTTATAATAGTGCCATCAGTCATTGGGTATTCAGTGGTACTTATGCTAAAATGTCTGTTCCTAACAAGTCCATGAAAGTCCACATGGAAATACCGTATAGAGGGTATATTTCACGGGGATTTAATTTCACTAATTTCACAGTTTTGAAAAATTCGTGAAAATTTTTACCCATAAAAATTGTTTTTTACCATACTAATAATGGTCAGTAGAAGAAAAACGCAAAAATTTTTCCTTGTGAATAGGTTGAAGGGTGATTTTCGTGAAATATTTTCCCCAGGAAATATACCCCTATATGGTATGATATATGTATACCCCACTGTATTTCCTGAACTAATCAAAGATAACTACTAAACATAAGGCTGGAGCAACAGCACGAACTGAGTTACAAAAAGCTTATCCGAATCAGGTTCCAGATGGTGTTGAAGTGACTCTTACTCGAACAAACACAAAGATTCATAAGCACTGAACCTAAAGATTTATGTTATTATCTTTAAATGTGTTTCACATAATTATTATTATTACACTTTTTCAATTTGTTAATTAACATAACTTACCAGAGGCGTGGTCTTATTAATTTTGCCAGTTTGTGCGCATGCGCAGAAACACACCCATGTGACCATTTTTATCACTTTTGAGGAAGAAGTGGTCCTATTTTCTGTGATTTTCTCTCGCATTCTCTCTTCTTTCTTTCCCCACATTCTCCTTTACAATCAACAGTAGTTAGTAAAAAGGTTTCAAGATGTCGGGAGAGGAGGAAACTCCTCTACCCAGCGTCAGTGGCCCGGCTGACCCGAGTCAACTCTCGGCCTATCTTCTCCGTGTTGTACCCGCCCTACTCGAGAGTGATGAAGACGTTCCGGAGGTAGTAACCCTACAAACCATCCTCAAAGACAACACCAGCAAGTTGAAACGTTTTATAGAAGACAGCCAGGAGCACACCCTTTCAATAATATGTACTTTACCAACTGAAGGACAAGAAACTGATGGTACTCCGTCTCTCGCCTCACAATCAGCCGCAACTTTCGATGTTTATTTGGGTGTGGTCTATCGTCCTCAACGAAGCGTGGGTGTCATATTTACAAAGCGTTTTCCTGTCATTGAGTCCGATAAGTCCATGAGATCTCAGTTAAGGTTTCTAACTGTCTCCGAGGACTCGCCTTTTGAAACTTTACACGATTACGTTCAAGATGCCATCAATCCTCTTTTCAATTCGTTCGTTTTGCATTCAAAGGGAGAGGAAAGGTGAGTGACCTTTCCCTTCTTTGTTCTTTTAAGTTTTTACAGTCTCTTTGTCTCGAATCTCATTGTTATGACAATTGTAATAATTTTAAATTATGGGTCGTAATTTATTGGGCTACTTTCATAGCTTTTCACCCTTTTACACTCACTCATGTAAACTAAGTTTGTGACTTTGTTAGAATTTCTGTGAACATAATCCTGAAAAGGGTACAGCTGTTGTTTGGTTCTTAATTTAAATAATAAATACTAATTTAATATTAATACCCTCATTTCTCTCTCTCTCTCTCTCTCTCTCTCTCTCTCTCTCTCTCTCTCTCTCTCTCTCTCTCTCTCTCTCTCTCTCTCTCTCCCTCCATCCCTCCCCCCTCCCTCCCCCCCTCTCTCTCTCTTCCTCCCTCTCTCTTCCCCTTTATAGTGAAGGTGATAAGTTGGTTACTGCAGTACAAAAGAACATGAGTGATTTGGCCGTGGGTCTCTTACACTTACAACAAAACATTGCCATACCTGACATCACCCTCTCAATGCATCCAGTTATATCAGCAGCTGTTGCTAAAGCAGCTGAACAAGGACGCAAACCAGTCGCTGAAGATGTTGGAGACAATCTATCAAGTACCACGTTTCTTAATGCACTACAGAAACAAGTAGCATCATGGACTAGAGAGATAAGAAAAGTAATGAGAGAAAATATGTGCATGTTAAAATACATGTACAACAGTACATTTTAAATGTTAAAATATACATGTACATGTACATTGAATTGACATTATCTAGTACATGTACATGTACACGTATATGGGTTTATGTAGACTTGTACATAATCTAATTAGTTGTTGTGTGTTTAGCTTCCATTAGTGCTAATTGCAGCACTTTAAAATTTCTATTTACTACAGAAAGCATTATTAATTATATACTGCCCCGCCCACTTGTGAATATTAATTAATTAGTATATTTTCTGTAGGTCACTACTCTTCAACGTGACGTATCGTCTGGTTCTGCGTTACAAGAGATCAGTTTTTGGGTCAGTATGGATCACGCTTTGAATCGACTCAGATCAAAACGAGAGAGCCCTGAGGTAGTGCTAACACTCGACGTCCTCAAAGCCGGCAAGAGATTCCATACCACGATAAGTTTCGATTCTGATACCGGTCTTAAGAAAATGCTTGACAAAGTGATGGACTATAACTTATTAATGAAAGACTTTCCAATTAAAGATCTCCTTGCTGCCGATTCCCTTTCTCTTGTTTCAACAGCCATTGGTACCATTTTCCAACATTTAAAGAAGCTTCGCAATACCACTTACCCAACTGACAGGGCCATTGCTCTAGTCGAAGCGATATCACGGGATCTTTTATCGCAGATGTTGAAATTACTCAACACTCACAAGTTAATGGTTGTAGCTTATAGGGACTTTGATCCCATTATCAAAGCTTGTCGTGATGTTTTTACTGCTTGGGAAGAAGAGTACGAGAAGTTTACGACCTTGCTTCGAGACTTGATGAAGAAGAAACGAGACGAGTCGATGAAGTTTCACTTTCGATTTAACCTAGCACACAAGAAACTGGAGACAAGACTTAACCAGATGAGAGAGTAAGAGAAATATTGTTATTATTTATTTATTTATAATAATTATTATTATTTCAACAACAACAATTTACAACAGTAATAATAATAATAATAATAATAATAATAATAATAATAATAAGGATAGTATTTGTATATTTATAAGGTTTTATATATTTATAAAGTTCAGTTAACTTGTTTATTTATTTGTAATGTATTATATTTTTGTTTTTTATTCTTAGCTTTCGTTTTCAACATGAGCAGCTCCAGTCTGTCATTAGTCGTGTCCTCAAGTTAGCTCAGCAAGCAAGAGCTCTACAGCAACAAGGAACTGGACTTGCCACAACCACCGTAAGTCATGTGACCTAGTTCTCAAATAAAAATTAAACTTAATAAAATTTATGTCCACCATACATGTACCTTAGCTGTACATGTATATACGTGTATTTGTTTTTCCATGATTGACTAATGTACATTGTACATGGGTAATGATTGCTGATTGAAATGTACATGTATAATACATTAATGAATATTAAGTACACTATTTTTGTGTATATATTATTAATTTATTTCTTTAGGATGTTATTGAGGGAATGGATGAACATTTGTTGGATGAAGAGGAGCTCTTGGCTGTTAAGGAGGTTCGTTTAGCTTATGACAATGTGAAGGTAGTGGACCCACTGGATCTATCTAATGATGGCATTGCTTCATGGGACACTGCTATTAAGAGGTAATATTTGATATGTATTGGGTCCCCCATTAGGGGTCAGGGGGAAATTAAATAAATATAAATATGGAGATAATTTTTTATATAACTTACATGTATTTACAGCTATTACATGTACTGTATGTATTATGGACATGTTATTTACAGTACTACGTCCTCTATAATAAGGACACCTTTATAATGAGGACATTTTGTAATGTCCCTGGATTTGCAATAGGATTATTCATGTCTCAGTCTACAGTTTACACAAGTACATAGTGTTAACCACATTGGGAGGACAACCCATGATAGCCTTTTACAAATAACTGAGTATAAAAGGAGACTATTTTCCTAGTTTGTGTCATTCCATGATAGTTCATCTGCATGCATTACACAATTTTTGGATGGGGTTACTATACTAGTACCCCTAGTACAAACTTTAAACCTGACATATCTGAACCTATGCAAAAATGCATTAGTGCAGTGGGGGATCTGTACTAGCTATACAGGTGGAATGGTTGTTATGATATTAACATTAATCAATCATTTCTCTCTCTCTCTCTCCATTAGATATGACGAGAGGATCGATAGGGTGGAGTCTCGTATTGCCGCCAGACTCAGAGATCAGTTAGGATCAGCTCGTAACGCTAACGAGATGTTTAGAATCTTTTCTCGTTATAACGCTCTTTTCGTCCGCCCGCACATCAGGGGAGCAATCAGAGAATACCAGACCCAACTCATTCAAAGAGTAAAGGAAGATATCGAAAACCTACACAAAAAGTTTAAGGTATATTTCTAATTAATGTCGCATCTTATTCTAATTAAAGCACATATTTTAAAAGTCATATTCTAATTAAAGCACATCATATTCTAATTAATGAGCACTTCATGTCTCCTTTTCAGATGCAATACAAGAACACTCCTACTTATGCCATTTGTTGTGTGAGGGACATTCCACCAATATCTTCATCAATCATGTGGGCGAGACAGGTAGGTGTGGCTTAACCACATAACACAGAAATACATTATGAACTACATAATTTTGATGTTTTTATTAATGAATTTTATGCATTATTTAATTAACAATTATCATATTCTATTTTTTTCTCTTTTTTTATATAACCTCATCTTATTTTTTCAACATTAATACATTCACTTGTACGTGTACTTGTACATGTAGTTGGAGCATCAGCTGGATATGTATCTTGCTCGAGTGGAGGCCGTCCTTGGAACTGATTGGGGGACTCACATTGAAGGACAGAAACTGAGAGACGATGGAGACTCATTTAAAACCAAACTTAATCCTAACCCTGTCTTTGAGGAATGGAAGAAAAGAGTAAGTACATGTACATAAATATCACATGCATATTGATTATTTAATGTTAGTTTAGTTGTATTTAACTGAAAGTGACTGCCCAAGTTTTCTATTTTTGTAATATTTTTCTCATATATATATATATATATATATATATATATATATATATACATGTTCAAATGTTATGTAGAAAGTTTGAGCTGATTCTGATCAAAATTGGATTTTATATGAATTTTTAAAGTTACTCCAAAATTTGACAAAACACCCTGTACTATAGTACATGGTCGTTAGCCGAATTTCATGAAAATTGAAAAGTAGAGGAATTTCCATTTTTATAATTTTTTTCCTGATGCATATACATGTTCTTATGTTGTGTAGAAAGTTTGAGCTTATTCTGATCAAAATTGGATTTTATATGAATTTTTTGAAGTTACTCCAAAATTGGGTCACAGTCCCTGTACGTACAGGGGCGTCGGCCAAATTTTGCCGAAAATGTCAAGTTGAGAATTGTCAATTTTTATAACATTTTCTGATACGTATACATGTTCTTATGTTGTGTAGAAAGTTTGAGCTGATTCCGACCAAAATTGGATTTTATATGAATTTTTAAAGTTACTCCAAAATTTTGACGTTATACTGATTATACATGGGAATTCATGTGAGCATTATTCTCTGTAGGTTGAGTCCAAGCATCTAGTCCAAGGAAGGATATTTGATATAGTTACCCAGAGAGGCAGGGGAGGTACCTACCTCAGACTGGTTGTCAATTTCAACGAAGACACCATCTCTCTATACAAGGAGGTGAGATGGGCATTAATTAGAACTTGCATTATTAAAGCATCATAACATATGCATGTAGCTTATTCTGCAAAGCTATAGATATGTTAATACTTTTTGATTGTTTGAAGTAAAATTTAAAAGAAATTCATGTATATACATGTACATGTAGTTGCATTTTATTTTTATTTATTTATTTATTAAGAAGTTGTTTTAAATATTTTTAGGTTCGTAATTTGCGCAGTATGAATTTCAGGATCCCATTCAGTATATCCAGTATGTCCAGTCAAGCAAACCAGTTGTATCCTCACGCCATGTGCCTCAAAGAAACCATCAGAACATATGAACTGACATGTCAAAAGGTAAGGAGAGAGAAGAGAGAGGGAGGGAGAATACACTCAAAGAATAATATAATGAATGTATGTACATGTACATTAGTTGTTGGACTTTGTTGCATGAACTTTATGTGGATGTACATGTACATGTATTTTTATTATTTTATTCCATTTATTTTATTTTTACAGATTACTGAGAATGACACAATAAGGCCGTTAGTAGCTGGTCTCAAGATTGACGTACAGGACTTCATTAAAGAGGTGGGCGTACTTCATGACATCATAACACATCATCTTTCATCTCCCCCTTCATTAATAGGGCGTCAACCTATCCTGGGATTCTTATCGGCTTGAGAGTTTTGTACAAAAGTTTTCAGAATGTGTCTTTGGCTTTCAAGAAAAGGTTAGCATATACATATATTACACTGTTGCCATGTCTCTAGTGTTGCCATGGCAATTGTTGCTATAGTTACTGTTGTCACGGTTACCTGTAATTTTATAGGTCGACGAGGCCCTCCACCACACAGAGAAGATATACACGCTGATTGGTGGTCTGGGATCCTGTGAGTACGAAGCTTCTCAGTTTAGTGAGATCCTTGACGAGATACAGAAACTGGTTGATAATCTTAACCTGCGTTCTTATACTAACCTCACCAGTTGGGTCAACTCACTTGATCTTAAAGTATGTGTACATGTTACTAGTAATTCTGTACATACACATGTACATGTATATCGAATATAAGCTTTACAGTAGCAGTCTTCAACTTTTATGTATTCTTTTTGTCTGTCTGTCTGTCTCCTCTCCTTTTCTTAATTGTCCATATTATTTTCTCTCTCTCCTTTTAAAAGGTTGAGGAGGTCCTAATGAAGCGTCTGTCAGCTGCCATAGCCTCCTGGAAGGATTGTCTTGTTGGTACTGAAG